TAAATACCCAATATTAACGGTGTGTGTGTCTGCCCAAGGACAATTTAAGGTAACACCTAATAGAGGTGTCATACATAATAACCTAATAAAAGTCAATGTAACAACTACTACAGTGCAACAAAACAGGAATATTAAATGTGGTCTCTTAAACATAAGATCTCTAGCATCTAAAGCAATATTGGTAAATGATTTAATATCAGATTATAATATTGATATAAGCTGTCTCACTGAAACTTGGTTGAGACATGAAGAATATGTCAGCATAAATGAGGCCACTCTACCCAGCCATATCAATACTCATATTGCCCGAGGCACGGGCCAAGGAGGTGGAGTTGCAGCAATCTTTGACTCAAGTTTACTCAAGTTGCCAATCTTATTTGTTACAGTGTACCGTGCACCAGGTCCTTATTCAGAATTCTTATCAGAATTCTCTGAGTTTTTATCAACTTTGGTACTTAAAACAGATAAAGTAATTATCGTAGGTGACTTTAATATTCATGTTGACAATGATAAAAATAGCCTTACTGTTGCATTTAACTCTATATTAGATTATGTTGGTTTCTGTCAGTGTAAATAAACCAACCCACTGCTATAATAATCACACTCGACCTTGTTCTGACTTATGGTATTGAAATTGAGCAACTATTAGTCGAACAGCATAATCCTGCTTTATCCGACCATTTCTTAGTAACTTTTGAAGTACTATTACGAGACTACAAAGCATTAGTCAAAAGCTCTTGCAGCAGAAACCTATCTGTTAGTGCTATAGCCAAATTTAAGGAAGAGATTCCACCAATACTTAACTCGATAGCATGTCTGCATGTAAGGGAGGAAACTTATACAAAATGTACAACACCCCAAATTGATCATGTTGTTGATAGTTCTATAGATGCGCTGCGAATAAAATTAGACTCTGTTGCTCCTTTGAAAAAGAAGAAAATAAAACAACATAGATTAGCTCCATGGCATAATGCCGAAACCCGCAAAATAAAGCAAAAGTCGAGACAACTTGAAAGGATATGGCGTTCCACTAAACTTGAAGAATCTCGTTTAATTTGGCATATTACTCTCAATGAATATAAGAAAGCACTGCGTAAAGGGAGAGCAGCCTACTACTCTTCATTAATAGATGAGAATAAGAATAATGCAAGATTTATTTTCAGCACTGTAGCCAGGCTGACAGAGAGCTCGATTGAGCCTTCTATTCCCATAGCACTCAGTAGTAATGATTTTATGTGCTTTTTTAACGATAAAATTGTTACTCTTAGAAACAAAATTAATGACCTCTTGCCTTTGACCAGTATAGTGTTATCAACAGCTCCCGGAAACGTAAGTTCTAATATTACACTAGATAGTAAACTAGAATGCTTTTCAGCCATTAATCTTGAACAATTAAATGCAATGATTCTCTCTTCTAAACCATCAACGTGCATGTTAGACCCAATTCCAACTAAGCTGTTGAAGGAAGTTTTTCCATTAATTAGCACTTCTTTATTAAATATTATGAATATGCCTTTATTATCAGGCTATGTTCCACAATCATTCAAAGTAGCAGTGATAAAACCTCTTCTTAAAAAGCACAACCTCGATCCAGAGGTTTTAGCCAACTATAGACCTATTTCTAATCTTCCGTTCCTCTCAAAAATTCTTGAGAAAGCGGTCGCAAAACAGCTGTGTGATTACTTAAAAAACAATGATTTATTTGAAGATTTTCAGTCTGGCTTTAGAACACATCATAGCACAGAGACAGCTCTGGTTAAAGTCACAAATGACATTCTAATAGCCTCAGACAAGGGACTTGTCTCTATTCTTGTCTTGCTCGATCTCAGTGCTGCATTTGATACTATCGACCATGATATCCTATTGCAAAGACTAGAGCACTTAGTTGGCATACAGGGAACTGCTGGTTTAGGTCCTATCTATCTGAACGCTCTCAGTTTGTACGTGTTAACGATGAATCTTCCACACAAACCAAAGTTAGCCATGGAGTGCCACAGGGTTCAGTGCTCGGACCTATTTTGTTCACATTATATATGCTTCCGTTAGGCAATATTATAAGGAATCATTCTGTAAACTTTCATTGTTATGCGGATGATACTCAACTATATTTATCAATCAAGCCTGATGAAATTAATCATCTAAATAAAATTCAAGACTGCCTTAAGGACTTAAAAACGTGGATGACCTTACATTTTTTTATGTTAAACACGACCAAAACTGAAGTTATTGTACTTGACCCGAAGAATCTACGAAACAAATTATCTAAAGATATACTAACTATGGATGGCATTAATTTGGCCTCCAGTGAGACTGTAAGGAATCTTGGTGTTATATTTGATCAGGATGTATCCTTTAATGCCCACATAAAATCAATTTCAAGGACCGCCTACTTCCATCTCCGTAACATTGCAAAAATCAGGCATATCTTGCCTCAAAACGATGCAGAGAAACTAGTCCATGCATTTGTTACTTCAAGGCTGGATTATTGTAACTCCTTATTATCAGGGTGTACCAAGAAGTCAGTCAAGTCGCTTCAGCTGATTCAAAATGCTGCAGCTCGTGTACTAACCAGAGTTAGGAAAAGGGACCACATTACTCCTGTTCTGGCTGCCTTACACTGGCTCCCTATAGAACACAGGATAGAATTTAAAATTCTTCTTCTCGCCTACAAAGCCCTTAATGGGCAGGCGCCATCTTACCTTAAAGAACTCATTATACCCTACTGTCCTATTAGGGCATTGCGTTCCAAGAATGCAGGGTTGTTGGTTGTTCCTAGAGTCTCTAAAAGTACAATGGGAGCCAGAGCCTTTTCTTATCAAGCTCCACATTTGTAGAATCAGCTTCCAGTTTGTGTTTGGGCGGCAGACACCCTATCCGTTTTTAAGAGTGCGCTTAAGACCTTCCTTTTTGATAAAGCTTATAGTTAGGGCTGATTAGATTCAGCCCCTAGTTTTGCTGATATAGGCTTAGTTTGTCGGGGGACATCTTACTTCTTCCTTCTCTCTGTCTATACCTGTGTACTCTCATGTTCCGATTAACCCAGCTTCCCCAAATGTATTTCTTTTTGGTGTCTATATACGCCGGGATCCGGAGACATGGATGATCCTGCGGTCCTATGTCCTGGATCGCGAGCCCTGGATCTTGAGTCGTGGCTGTGGTCCTGGATCATAGGTCCTGGATGGATATCCTCGTGGATTCATCTTCCTATTATTCACACATGCATTTCCAAACATTTGGACTACCTATGTTGCAAATGTATTATCTTTTCAATTTACACACGGCATCTATTGCACGTCTGTCCGTCCTGGGAGAGGGATCCCTCCTCTGTTGCTCTCCCTGAGGTTTCTCCCATTTTTCCCTTTAAACTGTGGGTTTTCTCCGGCAGTTTTTCCTTGTACGATGTGAGGGTCTAAGGACAGAGGGTGTCGTATTGTCATACTGATATTCTGTACACACTGTGAAGACCACTGAGACAAATGTAACATTTGTGATATTGGGCTATATAAATAAACATTGATTGATTGATTTCATGCAAAAATCTTTCACAAAAAGAGGTTGCACATTAAAATGCAGGTGTTGTTATGGCAACGTCATTGGCCAAACAGCCACATTTATTTACTGCTGCAAATATGTTAAAACATGCTGTCGACATGTAAAGCAGTGGAAACTATGCCACCATTTCAGCTGACTTTTTCTCAGAAATACTGTCACATAACATCCATATATTTCAGTGCTAGGTTGATGCTTAGCTAAGCTAACTATGAAACACTTTAACTGACAGGACTCAGGATCAACTGTAAGGTAGCTTCTAGCTTCATGTCGAACGGTAAGTCAACAGCTTTCTTTGAAATCACCAGGTAACGCTAAAACATTACATTTAGATTGTATGACAAAGTGTTTATTTGATTTATCTGGCTAGCTATAGCTACTTGCTAACGGTTTAGCTTACCCCCGCTATTCAAAGTAACGTCAACGTAGCTGTAATTTATGCTTTGCTTACATGTTCGCATAACTTAAAGAAATGTTTTTCTTATGTCCATCTTCAAAAACTCTGAGTCCGACTGACAGTTTATTTTAAACATTGTCACAGCTCACAGGATAGGTACCTGTCAGTCAATAAGACAGATGTTTATTTCCATTCAACTCTCTGGTTGGTCTGGTGTCTTGCCTCTGTTGCATTCACTGAACACGGGAAATTACATTCCTGCCGTCCTCTCTAGTGTCATGATGAGGTTCAGGTAAAGTACGGTTAATGTATTATATTATTGACTCAATAATATAATACATGACTTTGAGAGTAGGCAATCTAGGCATATTAACAAAATTAATTAAACATACTTATCACGGCGACGTTGTACTGAGATTATTTTTTTTTTTCATTTATTTCTTCTTTTCATTTATTTATTTTTTGCTAGGGGGCCCTTAGTGGCTGCGGGCCCTAAGCGGCTGCTTATGTTGCTTAATGGGTCGGGCCGGCTCTGCCTCCTCCACCTCTTTGCTGTCCTACTAGTCAACCCTTCTGATCAGAGCCTTTCCTAAATAGTGGTAAGTTGTTTTACAGTTCAGTGTACGTTAATTTAGCAACTTCATCCTTTACTGCTGTTGAATAAACCCTATATTGCTAGTGAGTTTATTAAAACTATGTTTTGCAATCTTTTTGATTTCAATTACAATAATCTTTTTTGTTATAATTGTAAAACACATCTTAACATCCATCAGCAATCAATAAAACAAATCATCCAACACAAAATAGAGGAAATCTGGACCTATTCTATTTCTTTTTATACAACAGCATCTATTGGGACTGCTCATTGATGTCATCAAGATCTGAGTCTACCTTTTGTAATCGGCCTCTTAGAATGTTTATAATTTCTTTGTCTCTTAAAGGTGGGGTAGGTAATTTTGGAGAAACCAGCTCGAGTGCGCTTGAATTTGAAAATACACAGCCGGAAAAAATCTGCCACTTCCTTACAGAGCCCCTCCTCCAACACACACGAACGCGCACATGACCAATGAGGGCACGAGATAAGTTTGTGCACAGATGGAAGGCTGACAGGCAGGTAGGCCATCCAGTTATTTTAGCCGGGCCGGCTAAAATGATTGGTCGTGCTTTTTACAGCGCCACAGCTTCCACAGATGAATTTTTGTAATGTATTTATTGTCAAAGCATTTAATATATGCATAGTCATTGCTATCGGGATGTTAAGAGCATTCCATGGAATATAACAAAAAGTGTTTCTGAAATAAATTACCCACCTTTAACATTCCTATAATAATTTGTTTTTTTATTGTTGATATTGTTTTGTTCTTTATTTTTGTTGGGAGAATCACTTTGCAATTGTGTAAGTGCTATATAAATAGTTATACTAATATTATTGTTGTTACCATCATTGCTATTATTAATAATGTTTTCTTTGTTTTCTTTATTCATCATCACTGCAGAAAGGATCATGCTAGCCCACATCAAACACCTGATCAAGAACTTGTGAATCTTCAGGCAGAAAAGATGAAAACACCTGTTCAAAGTTCCAGTTCCCTGTACATGGAACCATGCCTGTCCTCTGTTCCACATGTGTTAAGTCAGTTTTGGACCCTATGACTTGGACACTAGTTCTACCAAGGCTTATTAGAGGTAAGAGTGGTAGGAGAGGAGTGGAGTTATCTTTGTATTTAGGCTGCAAGTCGACAAAGGTGATCAAATGCAAACCATAAGCAATTGTTGACTGTAACGTCTATGCCAACCAACTGTAATTTGTAATGTATTTTTACCATACTTTAACGGTCAAGTTCTGGCAACCACAGCAGCCCACATGTTAACGTACATTTCAAGTTTTCTTTTTACAGTGTACTTATATCTGTACATTTATTTTCAGTTTGCTTCTAGAAGTGGCTTCAACAGACAGAAATGCCAGATTGGGAAAGGCTGGGGAAACATTATGGACATGAACAAGAAAAAACAAAAAACACTTTCTTTGTTGCCTTTTCCTTATCATAGTGTTACTGTTTTTGTTACCATTTAAATATTGAATTCTATTTATTACTTGTATTTTAAATCAAATGCACCTGTTTTAGATAATGTATTTATTTTTTATGTATAGGTTGATTTGCAGGTTGGTTGTTATTTGTATAATTATTGTATTGTTACTGCGTATTTTATTATATTAACTAGCTATTTGTTGCTATTTATTAAATTAAAATACTGTTATGAACACTATACAATGTCTTTATTTTTGGTAGATACCAGAATACATGACACAATGAATCTTTGTAATATATTTATGTTCTCTGGTTTAAATAATCATACCAGTATTTAAACAATGTATGCTGGTCACCTGGAATCCTGGTAAGTTTCCAGCATGGTATATTTAATACTATTATTAAACATAAGCTGGTGATAGATGGATGCTGGTATGCTGTTTTTTTTTAGCTGGCCAGGATGGCGGGTTTAGCTGCACCAGCTGCACCAGCTAAACCAGCCATCCTGGCCAGCTAAAGTGTCCAAAACCCCTCTAAATCAGCCAACCATCCAGCCTAATATCTACTGGCTGGTCAATTTAGCTGGTTTAGCTGGTTTAGCTGGTTTTAAATCAGCCAACCATCCAGCCTAATATCTACTGGCTGGTCAATTTAGCTGGTTTAGCTGGTTCTAAATCAGCCAACCATCCAGCCTAATATCTACTGGCTGGTCAATTTAACTGGTTTAGCTGGTTCTAAATCAGCCAACCATCCAGCCTAATATCTACTGGCTGGTCAATTTAGCTGGTTTAGCTGGTTTAGCTGGTTCAGCTGGTTCTAAATCAGCCAACCATCCAGCCTAATATCTACTGGCTGGTCAATTTAGCTGGTTTAGCTGGTTCTAAATCAGCCAACCATCCAGCCTAATATCTACTGGCTGGTCAATTTAGCTGGTTCTAAATCAGCCAACGATCCAGCCTAATATCTACTGGCTGGTCAATTTAGCTGGTCTAAGCTGGTTTTTTCAGCAGGGTAGAGCTTTCGTCCATAGGAAAGAATGTGCGCCAGGGAACCTTCGTCCCTGAACAGTAAACTACCTCATGGCAGCTTGTGCTCTGTCATAGACTGGCAACAACAATGCGCCCAAGCTGCTCCTCCTTAAGAGAGATAGCAGCAATACCCAAGGCTGTAGAACTATGCCATGAGAAAAGAGACAGTAACACAGAGAAAATTATGAACTGTGTCGAAGGTTGAATACCTAAGCAAATAATTCCCTAACAATAACTAGAATATATACTAAGGAGACCTTGCGCTGACGTTGTGGTAAAATAATACACTTTTAATCTCAACTTTAAAGGAAAAATTACAGTAAACTGTTTAACTGTTTGAGACTTCATATCCAAATAGCCCTCCGTTCTCAATTTATCAAGTCATGTTGCTTCTATAAAACAATACAGAGGGGGAGGGGGAACAGAAATAGTGAGATAAGACAAGAGCTTATACGTCCACATAATTACTGTGCACTTTCACGTTTTTAGGTAAATGAGGGTCTGATAAGGCCTTGATAAAAAGTTAAAATGAAATCAGTATACACATATACATGCTTCCACCTGGTAGGTGATTGGGTTTAAAAGTCAAAATGAATAAAATAGTCAAAAAAAGTGGAAGAGGAAGGAGAGCTCAGTACAGTTCTTTAACAGTCACTCTTAGAGTTTGCTCAATTCTGAATCTACAGGGCAGCATTTCATTGGTTTAAACTGGCAAGTGTGTCCTGCAGGCTTACCGTCTGATTGGATAAGAGGGAAGGCCAGTAGCATTTTGACACACACTCTGCATCTTAAACAGATAAAGGTGCAAACTTTCAGTGACACATGTATTTAGGGTTTCCACACCTGAGCGAAGGTACCAGAGCAGAAACGCCAACATGAGGACGCACACCCTTTTGTCCCTGACTCTGCTGGGCCTGCTGCTGTGGGCCTCCTGCAGCCGGGCCGACGACACAGAGCCCTCACAGGCAGAAACACAGGAAGACACATCGAAGGAGTCAACGGAGGAGACTTCAGCAGAGGAGGAGGAAACCAAAGAGACACCAGAGAAAGAGAAAACAACAGAGATAGAGGAGGACAAAGATGTGATGATTCTCCACATCAACAACTTTGCCAGAGCTCTCAGCGAGAATCAGTATCTACTGGTGGATTTCTGTGAGTAGCTATGAATGATCCATTAATGATAAATAAACTATTTTGTGCCAAGTGGGTCACATCAAACTCTTTAAAACAATGTCATTATACTGTATGTCCACCACCTGAGACAACCCATATTACATTTATCGTTGTTCTATTGGCACAAACGAAATCAGTGGCAAAATGTATTGACATTGACCAATTTTGTGTTTAAAGGTGTCAAGAATGGATACTTTCCTAAAAAAAGACACGCAAACAAAGGCTGAAAACTTTTGGAATAACTTACTAAAGCGACCTCGAGGAAAGAATATTTATCACTGTCTTTTGATCTAGCCCCCATGAGGCATTATCACACAAACAGGTGGCCTCTCATGTCCAGATGCTCTCTTGGTTAAACTCTCCCACAGATGAGCTCAGCACTGCGAGTGGTGAGGTCACGACAAGGAAGAGAGCAAACTGGATTAAGGCCGAGCCAAACTGCCATTGTTGCTATCAGCAGCTTATTTCCATTTGTATCTTTTCATGTGATAGCAGCACAAAATACTGGACAAGACAGAGGCCTGTGGAGCAGCTGCATGTCTGCTGCTTTGGTTATTGATTTCCAGTATTTCCTCCATGCTTTATAAAGAGATTAACTGTCTGTGTTTGTGTTTAGATGCTCCGTGGTGTGGCCACTGCAAAAAGCTGGAGCCTGTTTACGCTGAGGCTGCTGGGAAGCTGAAGGAGGAGGAGGAGGCTGCAGGGATCCGTTTGGCCAAAGTGGACGTCATAGAGGAGAAGGAGCTGGGCGATGAGTTTGACATCAAAGGTTTTCCAACTCTGAAACTGTTCATCAACGGAGACCGAAAGCAGCCCCTCGTCTTCTCTGGTAAATACCACACAGACACAGGAACATGCACACATTCAAATAAACTTCATCAGCAAAAGTGATCACAAATCTACATTGCCAAAGAAGTACAAGCAAGTATTAACATTAACAGATTATTAGAAATAAAAATACTATTATATGCAAATGTCAATAATCATATCACATGAGTATCAAGGAGAAGATACACAATTGTGTTACTTAATTAAAACCTCTGTGAACTAACTGCAGATTTGACTGTTAAAGCTTTTCAGATTCACAACCAATTGTGCCGACGTCATCACTAACTGTGCGCTGAACAGCCATGTGTGTTTACTTTATCTGATCACTGCTAAACCTGTCTGCTCTCTTTTACATGCCTTAAGCTGTCTGTTTCGATGAATAGCCTCTTGTGTCTTTAATGTTTGACTTTACAGAAATGAAAAGATAACATCGACAACCATTGTGATGTCTGTGTGTTAATGAAGAAGCTTATTTGGGCGTTTTCTGTGTGTTTAAGGTAAGAGGACAGCAGAGGGAATAGTCCAGTGGCTGAAGCGTCATGCCGGCCCCGGTGTTCCCGTGCTCGACTCTGCAGACTCTGCAGCTCAGTTCATCGACTCACATAACATCAATGTTGTAGGATTCTTTGATGTAAGTTCATTTATTTTATCCATCCTTACTATAAAAAAAGAATTGTTTTCCCATATTATGTTTACATTTTATTTCACATTCATACTTACATGTTGATTTATGTCTATATCAGAATCTGGAAAGTGAGGAGGCCAAAGTCTTCAAGGAGCTCGCTTTTGATTTCACTGACTCTGAGTTTGCTGTGTCAGCGATTCCAGAGGTTTTCCAGAAGTATGAAGTAAAGGCCAACTCGGTGGTGCTCTTCAAAAAGGTACGAACATGTTATTACACTAACTGACAGGGGCGCCGTAAGGGGGTGAAAAGTTAGGACGATTCGAAGGGCCCGTGACTGACAGGAGCCCAAACTATTTTAGAACATTAAGAAAAAAATGTTTAAGTAACCAATGTGATATCTTTTCATGGGGCCCAAAATCCCTGGCGGCGCCCCTGGGCACTGAGTCAAGTGTTTAATAGAAGCTGTAACAATTTAGCTTTGCTGCCATCTAGTGCAAACAGTATCTTCTGAGGACCAAATGTCCTCACATGGATAGAAAGGTCTGAATATTAGCTGATTTTGACTTCTGTGATTTATAGCTCGAGTATTTTTTATTTATAAAAATGACATGGTTTAAGTTAGGTTTAGAAAGCAAAAGAAACAAAACATCCACATTAGATGCAAAACAACCATAAGGAAATACTAATTCATTATTTATTTATTGTGTTTTTCCTTCCATGACCCCTGTTGAATATGTGCTTGTGTGTGTGTTTGGTGTAGTTTGACGACGGCAGAGCAGACTTCTCGTTGTCAGAAGAAGGGAAGCTGGACAAAAAAAATCTGACCGCCTTCATAAAGGAAAACAGCATGGAGCTGATCATCCCATTCAGCCAGGAGGTAACACACACACACACACACACACACACACACACACACACACACACACACACACACACACACACACACACACACACACACACACACACACACACACACACACACACACACACACACACACACACACACACACACACACACACACACACACACACACACACACCACACACACACCCACACACACACACACACACACACACACACACACACAATTATACCTTGAAATCTAAAATGAAATTATTATATTATACTGTAACTACACTGTATGAATGTGTGTGTTTTCAGAATGCAGATAAGATCTTTAGCTCCAGCATCAAAATTCACAACCTGCTGTTCATCAACTCCTCTGTGAAGAGTCAGACAGCGCTGTTGGACGAATCCAGGATCATTGCCAAAGAGTTCAAGGGCAAGGTAAATGTGTGTGTGTGTACTATGCTGATGCTGTGTGTGAGTGGAGAGTGTCTTTGAAAGAAGGTCAGTGGCTGAAAGATGTAAAAACGTATTTGAACCTCCTGTCTCCTGTGTCATGTAGATGCTGTTCGTTGTTCTTGACGTGACAGAAGCCATGACGCATGTGCTGGATTACTTTGGTGTGTCTGAGAAAGACGCCCCGACTGCTCGTATCATCAACATGGAGACGGGAAAGAAGTTCAACATTGACTCCGGGGATCTTAACACAAATGTAATGAGACAGCTGTGCCTGGACGTTCTGGAAGGCATTGCTCAGGTAACACACACACATACACACATTTGTATATATAGTTAAACATCAGCATTCAACTTAAAGGTCCCCTATTTTCATCAATATATTATAGGTCTCAGATATATACAAAACATGTCTCTGACGTGTTTGGCTCGAAATACCAAAC